TCCCAGATAGCCCACCTAGTTGCTGAATAGGGCCCATGCATTTAGCCCATATGGGCCAGCCCATATGGGTCTCATTTTAGTTAACCATATGTGTCCCATGCAGTTCGCCCAGATAAAACCCATGCCCACTCATTACCCATGTAGCCCACATCAAACACAAGTGGGGCCCACTCATGCGTGCTGGCTGGGCTCTTGCAGGTAGGCCAAATTCTTGTGGTCAAACAATGATACAATGATAGGATATTTGGCTCATATTAGCCAGTGTCACCACTAACCTAAACCTAGTTTGATGGCTGGAAGTTCCCCATCTCCTATATGATAACTTCTTTCTGCTTTTGTGATCCAAAACTATGTTAATTCTAAAATATTTGTTAGATCAAAACCACATTTGGTTTGAAGCTCCACTCCTACCTGATGGTATTTCAGAACGCAGCATATTATGTTGGGAAAATTTGCTTTTTCGTGTGATTACAAGATTATTAAATTGTCTAATGTACAGATGAATCATTCAGCTAATGCAGTGGCATGACTTAATTCAATTTAAATAAATTCAGTGTGTTTATATAAGTCATGTTTACGATGGATATTATTAAATACCATCAAATATCAAAGGCATTTCAATGACAGAAATTCTTTTTTTAAGCAGAATTATAACAAAATCAACCTAATTGAATACAAAGATTCACATTCAACTACATACATACTAATTAAATCCAAGTTATAACACAATGCAGTGATATGTATAATTACTACACTTAATGCTAGTGCTTTTTCTACATTGAAAGGCAGTCAACTGTAGAGTTGTTCACTTTACAACAATTTTCCATATTAAGAAGTCCTGTGGTGACATTGGAAAAGAAGTACTCTTTCTTTTCAGGTCTTAAACAGGTCTTTTCCTGTTTAACAGGAAAAGACCTCCAGCACAACTCAGCTTACTATGAGTATCCATCTAATGAAAAGGACTCAATGTTTGAGAGAATGAAACAGAAAGACCAAAAGCACAGACGCACAGATCCAATAGTACTTTCTATGTCAAAGAAAAAGACAAAGATAATGAGAGCATTAGCTCGTTCATTGTCTTCTTAGAAAGTCACACAGCCAAATAAATGATCTGGACAGCAACAAATTATGGGATGAGAAAAAATATTTGTAGTTAGTGGCAGAATTAGACACCTGAAGGCATTTATCCAGGAGAGAGACAGAGTTATTCACAGAAAGAAACTACAACGTGTATTCTCAATAGAAAATTAAGATATTAACAGCAAAATCTCAGCCAACAGGCTTTTCTATGAGGCTTTCCAGAGACCAAAACATTGGGCTGGGTGCACCTTCTGTGGAGAGGAAAAATAAGAAAGAACATACAATAATATTTGAAGATGATGCATAATTGGGAATTATTAGGATTAAAAACAGAGCGAGACAAAAGTAGTTATTATGCTCAGTAGCATTTCTATAATATCATAGCTACAGAGAAGGATCAAATTTATCCAATCCATTTTAGCAAATGGTTGTTCAAAATGTAAAGTGTCTTTTGTCTTCAAAGTAGATCTTGCAATGATCTATAACAGCAAGTAAAGACAGAAGATGTCTCACTGCTGCTATAAGACTAAAAAACACTGTATATTTAAACCTCTTGTGTTGAGATGACATGAATTAACTTTTATCACTACAAAACTTCCTTTCAGCAACATAAGGACATAAACATGTTTTTATTTTTGAAATATCGCCAGGAATGTAGATTTTTAAGTATTGCTTTTCTTGGCTTCTGTAGACGTGTTTTCTCTGAGCTCAATAAGGATTCCTTTCATGCTGTCTAAGCTCTACTGACTTATATGAAAACCCAGAATTTCTCCATAATTATGCTAATGGTCCAGATGGTAGCATGATGAGTGCCATTCTCTTTGATATTCAGACACTTCAGAGTGCTGGTGTGCAGACCCACGCACCCCGACACAGGTTCAAAGTCAATGTTCACACCACCTACTTGATTCCATGTAATTACTTCGTTTTTCCTTTAGCTCATATAAGCGCCCTCTCCACTGTTAAATGCATTAGCTGGTATTTGTTAGGGGGATTTGACAGATCATGTGAAGAACAGCGCACTAGCACTTCAGCAAAAAAAAAAAAAAGCAGTGACGATGAGTTTATTCAATCAGTTGCATTATAATTGGAATTCTGCAGGGAAATAAATATAAACACGTGGTCAAAATAACCACTGCATGAGCCTACTTTGGTAACATCTTAGTGGATATTTTAAATCAGTGGAGATTAATTCTCCAAACATAATTTAAATATACTGTGGGCCACCTATAAATACTGATAGGTTTTATTTAGAGTGTTTCTTCACTCACAGGCAAGTCATTCACATTTAAACCTCACAATGACTGTGTTCATCCACACTTGGACTGCGGTGGCACCGATCAAAGAGCTTCTTTCACTTCCCCACAGGGATTAAATAGCCATCCATCCTCTCAGGGCGGAGGTGTGCTGCTGTACCTTTGCTTCCAGCTGATGCACTGGCCTATGAAGAGCTGGTCACGGGGGCGGGCACTGAGAAGGTGCATCCAGATAGTCTACACAAGAGCGATAGATAATCATCTTCTCGCTGCAAAGACATGTAACGCAGTATAGCCTTTAAAAAAAAAAAAAAATGTTAATCAGATAAAACGTATTATAGACTCTAAAGTGGCCCAGCATCTGTAATCTTTTTCTGTGCAAGAAATACCTGTTCATATAGGAAGAATTCCTCACTCTCAAAAACTGAAGTTTATTGCCTCAGAGGCTTTTAAGTTTAAGTAGAAATATTTGCATATCTTAAATATTCAATCCTTCCGGCATCTTCTGTCGACATGACAGATTTGTGGTTCTGCCAATTTTAACTGGTTCCATTCCACTCCTCCCACACTGCTGGGTAGAAGGATTGCTTATTGAAATTCCATAAAGGAGATTTTGACAGGGAGTTTGTGAATGGCAACAAACATGAAGTAGGCCTACACAGCTGAGTGACTGACGTTTATAGTCTGGAGTGCTGTTTTTCAGCAAAACATCTCCTGTACAGACTGCTTTTTCTTCCCCAGATGTGAACACAACCAAAGTCATTATATGTTATTGTTTGCCTGCTTTGGCATCTAGAATTGCGATGACTCTTTTAATAGAGGTCAATGATGAATAAACAATCAGGAACACAGCTACTATGCCTTGCAAACATATACCCTTTAAGCTTTTTTTACATTTTGTCATGTAAGGAGCAACAAACTTCTGTGAATTTTAAGGAGATGCTATATGAATAAACCAATGCTATGTCACACAAATTGTCAAGTGGCACGGAAAGAAAGAAAGATTTCTAACTTTTTTTTTTTTTTTTTACAAATAAGAGTCTGTATCACATGCAGTTGGATCAGTCCCTAAAATCTGATTCAACACATTAAGTTCAGCAGCATGTACTTTAGACTCAGTATAAATACAGCTGTTCTTTGGAGGTGTAGAGAGATGTATAGCTTGGCTAGACAATGTCCCAACAATATCACAAACTTTGAACATCTGGGAGAGTTCAGGTCAATTCAATATTTAAAAGTCAAGAGAGTATGGCACAGATGTAAACTTCTGACTTCATCAGAACTGACATGTAAGGCAAGGACAGAGTTAATCAAGGCCATTGATTAGAGAAGCAGCCCAGAGGCCCACTTTAAATATGAATGAGCAGTACAGATCCACAGCTCAGATTGGAGCTTGTTGACACAAATCTGGTCTTTACAAAACGGTTGAACAAGATATTACAAGTCGATTTGAAATTAGTCACAAAGAAGAAATTAAACAAAAAATAAATCTTTTGGTCTACAATAGAAAAAATCTTAGAACTTAGAAATGACCTTTAACACAACATCTTCCACAAGAATGATGGGATACATAAAAAACATTCAGTTAATCTCACTGACCTAGAATTATTTAACAGAGTATTCAATAACATGTTGGACTCCAGATGAATAAAGTTGGGAGAAGCATATTATAAAAAGCCTCAATATACTCACTTCCAAACACTAGACCGTGCTAAATACATGTGCATACAACACATTTAAGATTTAAATTTGTAAGCAGATAAAAAATAATAATTAAAAAAAATGTATGCATGTATAATTTCTTACCCAATGGATGCTGGAGATAAAGATGATGGAGTTTAGACAATGGATTAATCTTTTCTTCTACTTCAATAAAGTCCATTTAGCTTTGGACAAAAAAAAAATCTAAATAAAATGTGTAAGTTGTGGTTTTAACAAGACACAATGTCAAAATACTTTTTTGGTTGTAAAAACTTTTGCAAAGCACATTTTGGAATATCAATTATATGACAATGGTCACTTTGCACACTGGTGATGAGCATATTTTATCACCCCACTGAATTTCCCGTGGAGGACTTTCTAATGGAGAAAAAAGCCCCTCAGATGACAGTTTTTGGAATCACAAGAAGCTTTTCTGTCAAAGGGCCATGTGCGTACTTTGCATATTCGCCCATCTCACCAACAGTTCTTCAAGTGCTTGGCGCCAAGTTGTAGGGAGGCAGAGAAACTGCTATAAAGGTGGAATTAATTAGGTTTTACACTCAATCCCCTCTCTTCATTGATAAATCATCCTTCTCTCTTTTCCCTCTTTTTCAGTTTTCCTCTGTGGATAGATAGTCCATCTCACGCTCTCTCTCTCTGCTGCCCTCTCGCTCACTCACGCTTTCCGTCTTTGTGGTGCGCGTTCACAGCACCAACCTTGGCTCGACGTCAGAGGCTGTGTAGCAGTGCAGTATAATGGGAGAGCAAGCAACACAGAGAGCCTCATAGGGGGGCTGCATATCGCTGCTGTATCCTCTGCTTGGCGCTCTCCAGTAGCCTCACCTAAAGCCCTTGCCCGGGCTCCCCCTCCTCCACGCCGGATCCGTACCCTTCGACATGGATGTCCCATCATCCCTCGACCCCGCGGATTGCCGTTTCTTAGCGCAGTGAAGAGGGAGACGGACGACAGGAGGACGGAATTATGCCGGGATCGCGAATGGATTTGGGGAAAGCGCGAGTGACCATGCCGTGATCTTGCACATCCAGGGCCGCCGATACCCCTGCCTTTGCCCATCAGCCGTAGAAGAATCACGGGGGATTCAAGCCCGCCGCGCACCGGGGAGGAATTATCCACTGTGCATTTGCTTTGAAAACATCATGAAGATTACCTCCCATCATCTGATGATAACCGGTCTCGCTATCAGGTTCAACCTCAGGCTGATCCCGCTTCTGCTGCTGTTTCTTGGATACACTCGCGGGATGCCGCACGTTCTAAGATTTGGTGAGAAAACGTACAATCTGTTACAAAGTCTACTGGCCACACTGATCATATGTATGTGCGCTTGTCTGGTGCTCGTATTCTGAGTGGAAATTTGAGGATGTACTTCGCAAAATGTAATGTTTTAGTCGTAGCTATGCTTTGCAACTTCACTTTACCATACAATATTTAGAGCTTAGAGTTTTATCACGACCTGAACTCTATGGAGGAAATGCTTGGGGTTTTCATCAAACTTGAAGCCACACTAACTCTTGAAGACCGTACTTTAATTCTGTGTTATAGCATGCAACAGTTCCTGGCTATTGACTGCAAATGAAACTCAAGCAACGCCGCTCTAGGGCTCATATTTTCTAACATGTATCCTGCCGGGCATCCCCGCATCTCCTTGGCCCTTTAAACCCCGCACTCCACAGCATGCCCGCCGCATTGAGGTTTCAGATGTAAACATCATCCCCGGGGCTCTGAGAAGATCCAATCTCTCTGCGTCCTGTGGTGCTTTTCAGGTTTAATTCCTCTAAAGCGCCTCTCATATGAGATGTTCCCGGGGTTTTTGCATGAACTCAGACAGAAATTTAAACCGACTTAAGAGAATTCGCCTTCAGTTCACTTTTAACTTTATAGAAACTGACAGGCAAGTGTTTAACGTTGGCCGCAGTTGCCACTTTTGTATTCGTCGGCTCGTAACTTCCACACATAACGTGTGCGCGTAAAGCAGCCGAAATCAGAGCTCTCCATACTTTTCTCCTGGTGCCTAATTAGACCCTCGTCTCTCAGGATGGAGATGGAGAGGGCTTCCTGCCTCTCCATCCAGTCTCTGTATTTACGGAAAACACGTCGGAGTTGCACACAAAGCGGATGTCATCGAGTGTTGACAACAGACTCCCTAATATGCTCATCCACACCCCCGGTGGGGGGTCCTGCTTAAGAGTCAGGCGACGTCCACGATTGCCGCCGCTATGGCAACGGAAAGTGCTCTTCTTCCTGCTGCATTCTCTTTCCATTGAGTGGCTTCCAGTCTCACATTTGCCTGACAGACGCCCGGCATCAACTCTGGCATTCATTTAAGATAGTTTTCAAACACTCCGTCGACTGGAGATAAAGTGGGGAAAATTAGCCGAATCAGGAATGTTACGCTTGATTTGTACAGTAGCTATATTGATAAAGTGACGTGTAGTTACCATTCAGACCAAACCGTACATAGAATTTTGTTCAAACAATTGGTGTAATATATTCCACAGATCTTTTTTGTGTATATTTTAACCACTATTTCTGGGTGAAAACTGTGTATTTTTAGTACATAGTTAAAGTAAGTGGTTGAATTCTGCAAACTGTTATTAATTAATTTTAATTATTTCATTCTGTGCTTCAAGTTTATATTTCATCAATCAGAAGAAAGTCCAAAAATTCCACCCTACACAGCTAATAAACCAATATAAAATCTATTTAACATAACTCAAAATAGTCTATATTTTCTCTTTTCAATATACATTTAAAACCCATAATCTCAGAATGACCAAACACTGCAAAATTACATTTGGGGGGATATTAATTATAAACCATACAAATAATTTATCTGCTTATGTATTTGTTTTTAAATGTATTGTGTGAAGGTGATCATATTGACTACTGGTAATAAATTCTATCCAAACATTCAGATCTCAACTTAGCTAAAGTTGTTGGTTTACTTGATTGTCATTGTCATTTGGCTTGTGTATCAGAAAATAATAAGGCTGACATCTTTATATGGAATCTATCAAAAATGTATACAACTTTATGGAGTTTGGAAGAAGAAAATTAAGCTGTTTTCTAACAGTGGTAATGCCAAAGTGAACTTTAGTTTGACGACTTTAACTTTTTCTTTTCCTTATGTTTTTGTTCATTTTGATTATGGTAAGGACAAACTAAATAAAAAAAAAAATTTAACTAATTTATTAAACACATTTTTTAAACAATTGCTGGAATTTAACAAAATTATTTAGTTGCTTACTTGATTTCTACTTATTACACTAATTAAAATCTATTGGAAAAAAACAACAACATGTAAGGCACGTAGTTGTTCAGTTCTAACAGTTTCATCAGTGCACACCTGATTAATAATGATACTGGTGTTTCCGGGTGTAATCATTAATGCACATTATATGGAAAGGGTTGTTTCTGTCACAAAGTGATTTGAGTTGTTTTTCATGTTTTCTAAAAGAAAAAAAAGAAAAAATATTTTTTCATGACTAAAATACTATTACTGAAATGACTAATACAGATTTAATGCGTATTCAACAGTACAGCATGGAAGCATTTTCTCTGACAACCACAGCTAAGAACAAACAATTTTTAGCTATGTTAACCTCAGCACTAAGAAATCCAGATTGTTAGCAAGTTTGACATTAGCTCTGTTGCTACATTAGTTAGCAGAACTCAATGCTAACTTAAATTTTTGCTCCAACTCAGAAAGTTTCTTAAACATGTTTGTCATGGTACGCTCTGCTGAGTCACTATTTATTGATTATGACAAACAATAAACCCATTTCAGGCTTATTATTATTATTATTATTATGTAGTGTGGTTAGAATTGAGGCATTATTTAAGATTCAATTTGCAAAAGATGCTTTAAATACGCTTGATTAAGTAATTTGACTTGCTTGACTTTAAAATTTTCCACAAAGGTTTTTATGGCGTATGTATGGTTTATGAAAGACTTCATGAAGCCAAACTTAATTTAAATTCACAATATTTTTATCTGTACCTGCTGTGCTGAACTTGTCGCCTCTGCTAAGCTTAAAAAAAAAAATCTGCAGGGCATCTGGCATCAGTTGTGACATAGACATGACCAGGCAAAATAAGATATTATTCATGCCACTGCGATCTTTTGCTCTAAGGTAAAAGCTCATGCTTGATTCCTTTCCCCCTCAACTAGTTGCATTTAACACGGCTGGAATTGAGCTTGTCTCTGTCTATGGTTCTGAAAGGAATAAAAAAAAAAAAAAAAAAAGCAAAACAACTATAGCTTCTGTTCAGAACCAGGGACAGAGACACATGTTCAGCACAACTGCTTGCTGCTGAACAGTGCGTTCAGTCACGTTTTGTTACGTTTTTTTACTTTTAAAAACAAACATGACGTTCGTCGTTCCTGGTTCATTATCTAATGCTAGGGGGAGAATGGCGTTATTTGCATAAGTGTGTATGAAGAATTCTATTGAAAACCCTTAAATGTACATGTCAAAATGAGAAGAAATGCAACAAAGAAAACCCTCAGGTGAAGCAGGAGTCATTTCTAGAGCCTTTTCTTGTACTGCAAGATGTGCTTACTCAGCAGGATAATCCCAGCTGCTCCTGCAGGAGGCCGCCTGAACGAGGAGGTCAGCTCCCCCGAGTCTGCTTGTTTCCTTCCTTGCCCCCTTGCTACATTCTGTCCAGACAGGCAGCTTGCATTGTGGAACTGCTGTTCTCTTGTCAGACTGAAACCTTTACACACTATAGCACCACAGCCCAGTCAGGCTTTTGTATTCACAGCATGGGGCTCACCAGGGTAGAGTGACAAGTGTCAGAGGAAAATGAAAAAAAATATATATAAATAAATGTTTTTTTTAGGGCCACCAGCTGCAGGAGAGGTAGCAGAGTTTATTCTCACACTGAATTAGATTTTTGTGTTTTATGTTTGTCATTTAAAATGTGGAAGACGCTCAGTGTATAAAGGGTTTAGAGAAGATTTAACTGAACACCTGGTAAGAGTAGATTTTCTCTTTGACAAACTCACACCCACCAAGTAACACTTTGCAGAGCTGCTAAGGGTCTTCTGGATCCAGAAGAAAATATCACTTTCAACCTGAGCAGTCACCACAATCAGAAATGCCGCTTTTTATTCACACAGGCTGCTGAACAAAAATGTGCACTGGTTTAATCTGCAAGCTAAGCTGCAGCTTTATTGCTCTTTTGACCCTCTTCCTGGCAGAATTGCTTAAGTTTTTTTTATGTGCAGCAATTATCAAACTTCACATATAAAATTAATTTGAAGAAATAGTAATTCAGGTTTGAAGTAAAGTTTGCAACAGCCATATTTTTAAAATTATTTTAAAAAAAAAATAGACCAATTATTTGTGCATAGCCAATTTGTATGTGGAAATCCTGTTGAATCTTATATAGTTGCAGTTTTTGACATACATTTCGTGTGCATACCTACAGTTTTAACTTTGTAAATTATAGCACAACTTAATGTGTCTCTACATGTTTCTAGTTTTTTTTTTCTTTATTATTTATAATGTTGTGCAGCACGTTGAGCTGCTTTCAGTATGAAGTGTGGTTTATAAATAAAATGCCAAGAAATTTTAAAATTGAGGGTCACAAAATTCTGTTCTCCTCTATTCACACGTATAGCAGGTAAGCATATTTGGTGTCAGCAAACACTGCTGAGTTATCCTGATTCTCATTTCTTTTAATTGTAATATGGAGAAAAGATATCCAAAAATGTAGCAGTTTTTTTTTATATCTATGGCCCTCAGCTTGCCAATGATTGCAACGCTGAGTGATAGTATTATCGCAGCCATCTGCAAACAGCATTGGCAAAACCAATTTGTCTCTGGGCTGTCAGCTGCTGGTGAAATCATTGTTGACTCATAAATGCTCTTTCTTTCTCCACCCATTCTGTTTACATTTTCTCAGTATAGACATATGCTGGATATATTTCAGACAGAAATGCAATCATTATTTTTCATTTTGAAGAAAGGGAAAAAAAATCAATTATTTTCTTTCAGTCAACTGCCAAAAGACAAAAATCCCCTCTGGTGAAAAGAGAAGGTGTTTTTTTTTTTTTCTGACCTCCCTTGCAATGTGATCTCTTATTGCATGTCTAATTATAAAGAGGCTCCATCCTGTGAACTGAGTTGTGGCAAGGTTAAATGCTGAGGGTGAGAAAGAGTGGTGGGAACAAATTCAAGAGGAGCTGATCACTAATTGACTTTATTTGCTTTCGGTTTCTGCCAGTCTGGAGTATCGGCAGGCTGGAGTTCAGT